AAGTACAACTTGGCTTAACTGCAATCTAGGGGGAACCATATCTAGGTGACCTCTCTCAAACTTGAATCACAACTTTTACTGCTTGTGTTTGTTAGTTTAGTTGAAACTTCACTATAGTTGAACTGCTAAATAATAAGAACTTCATGGAGTAGTCATCACACATTCACACCTAGGACCCGGATTGACAATTAAATCTAAACTTGCTATACTACGCATTAGTAGGTGTTTACACATGGCCACTTTCTAGTGTGACAGTACAAGCGAGTCAAGAAGAAAGTACCATTAGCTACTTATGAGTTCAGCGATTATACTGCTCAATGGTGGGAGCAGGTTTGCCTTCGTCGGCAGAGGAATCTGCAGCTGGAAGTCACAACCTGGACAGAGTTGCGCGGGCTGATGAGAGACAGGTTTGTCCCAGCTTATTACCAACGCGAATTATACGAATCTTTGCAGGGGATTCAACAAGGACCAAGAGGAGTGGAAGAATACTTCCGTGAGCTGGAACTCTTGCTAATGAGGGCCGACGTCAGGGAAGATCAAGAGTCGACGATTGCGCGTTTTCTTCATGGGCTAAATCGGGAGATTCGCCAGGATTTGGAGCTTAGATCATTTGTCGATCTGGAGGAAGCGTTGCATCTCGCGATCAAAATCGAGAAGCAACAGAAGACGTCGAGGAGAATTACCTCGGCGACCAAACATGTAAAATAAGCAACGGTCGACGCCAATCCGTCTCCGTCACGGCTGGAAGGCCAAAAGCCAGCCACTCGACACGATCCTCCAACTTCTTCAACATGAGGGATTCAGTGTTTTAAATGTTTTGGAAGGGGACACAAAACTAGCCAGTGTCATACTCTGAAGACTCTGATTCTCAAGGACGGCTAGTATGTCACCGATGCCGAGCAATCAGACTCTAATGATGAGGAGAAGGTTGACGAGAACATTGAGGTAGAAACACCGAATGAAAAGTTATTGGGAGTCAGCCTACGAGCTCTTACTGCGGATAGTTCGCCGGATCTCAGTCAGAGGGAGACCCTGTTTCACTCGCGATGTGAGGTGAATGGTAAGTTGCTACGCTCATCATCGACGGTGGGAGTTGCGCCAACGTCATCAGGCAGGACGCCGTCGACAAGCTCGGGTTGAGCACATTGAGACACCCAGAACCTTACAACTTACACTAGCTCAACGACTACGGAGCAATTCAAGTGACTAAACGAGCTAAGGTGGGTTTTGTTATCGGAGAATAAAGGGACGAGTTGGAATTCGATATGGCTCTGATGCATGTAGCTCACTTTTTGCTGGGAAGACCCTGGAAATTTGATTGGGGTGTCAGCCATTATGGAAGAATGAACCGGTACAAGGTCCGGCACCAGGGGAAGAAATTTTGTACTGAAACCATTGACGTAGGAGGAAGTGCGGGACGATCAACGACAAATGGTGGCCAACCAACAACGATTAAAAGGGAATTCCTCTGAAGACCCTAGTTTTACTCTCCTTACCCAACGCTTCATGCTCACTGGTTTCAAAAAGAAGCAAACTCCGCGTCGACAACGGTGTTGTGTCTCGCCGGAGCAGGGGAGGATAGAGGGTCTATTGGTCAGACCAGTGGGAGGAGAATCGAACCAAGAGGATAGCGCCAACACGCTCCAATTCATCTCTGGAAACTCAAATGCTGGTGACAATGGGACAAAACCATCTAGATTATCGAATCAAATCAGACCCGAAGTTGCCCTGAAAACTGAAGAACACGAAGAAAAATCGAGTTAATGGGTTGGAGGAATTGGAAGTGATTCGATACAACCTACTACTGTGGAACCATTCAACGTGATCCCAGGAAGCTTTTAAATCATTCAGATCGACCCCGAGCTACCTGTATAAAAAACGCCCAATTCATAATCGCGTTTTCTAGGTTGACAACGTTTGAATGTCGACAATGGAGGGAAAGTTCCAATCGTCGATTCGATGAAAACGATGAAGAGTCGAGACCTGAAGCCTACCCAGAAATGCAATTCAAGGCTCGACGAAGCTAATGGTGGCGGTCAATTGAACTGGGGATACCGGAATTCAAAAGCCCCAATTCAGAACATAAAGAACAGAGTCCTAATTTCCCATAAATGGCAATTTGGGAAGACCTCTTTCGATCCAATTTGGGACTGATTTGCTGAAGCTTTTGAAAAACGAAGGACCAAAGTTTTGAGGTCAAAGCTTTGTAATGGGGGAGGGACTGATATGAATTCAAATTGGGCATTAACTAGACTAGAATCGGTTGATCGAAAAGGTCATCCAAGAGCATTGGACAATACTAATCTTTTGATCATTTCAGGTGGCCAACTTTGAACGTGAGATAAAATATCTCGGGTGCCACTCAAGTTTGAGAATTGGGGTAGATGTACCACTTAAGTTTGAATATGGCGTCCGGTACCATTCAAATTGCCAAAATGTGAATCCGTCTACTTTTCCATCCAACCCAAACTTTTAATTACTTTTTGATACCCAAAACTTTTAAAAAATTTTAACAAGTTTTATCTAATATAATAATTAGAAAACCTTATAAAAATATTATAACTAGAATGACTAATCAAAGTTTTTCAATAAAATAGATAAATTAGGAAAAATAGTAAACGAATATCAAGAAGAATAATAAATATGCTAGAATATAATAATAAATATTTAAAACTCCCTAATTCAGTTAGAAGCACTATTAGAAATAGTTAAAATAGCTTCACCAAAACGAAATAGTTAAAATAGAACCTAATCGATTATCAATACATCAAAATCAAAAAAGATAAATGGAACATAATCAGAAATAATTAAACATATTTCACTACTTAAAAAAATTTAGAACAAAAAGAGATGAAAAGTAACAAAGTAATATACAAAATACAAAAGCTACAACATCCGGTAAAAATGTAGAAAAGAAAATATGACTATAAAAGATACAACATTGTTCAGTTACAAAATTCATAGAATAATTCACTTATTAGAACACACAATGATAATTGATAATAATTATTGATAATTAATTCTAAAATTTCTAATCCAAAATTGTTTTGGTATCAAGTATTCAAAAGAGGATTCTACCTAAACAATAAAAAATAATTTTTTTCATAAGTCCAAATGATTTTTTTACAATAAGAAAAGTAGAAGGACCAATTATGAAATTTAAAAAGCAGAATATTCCAAGAATATTCTGTCAACTTTCACGGAATGCACTTAACAGTAAACTTAGGTGGTACTCGGTGCACATATAATAGAGTTGAGTGGTACCTGACGCCCTAATCAAACTTAAGTGGTATGCCTACCCCAATTCTCAAACTTAAGTGGCACCCGAGGTATTTTATCCTTTGGACGTGTGTAACTCGAGATTGGCTTGGTGAAAATTCGAATTCAAGGGCTTGTGTTCAAGAAGAAGAGTTGTTCTTTACATCGACATATTTTGGAGTTCAAAAGGAAGCCCAAAGGTTGTTTTTTTGGGTTGATGAAAGTGCCTGCTCAACACAGGCAAAACTGCCAAAATTGCCCAAATCTGGAAACGAGTTCATGAAGGTCACTTTGAGATTCAATTCGTGGAGATTGAGCCAGGTTCGAATTTCAAGGTTGATATCCCATGAAACTAGGCCTTTCATAGTGCAGCGTCGTGGAATTGGATAACTGGAACGAAGCTTGGAGGACATAGAACGAAGACCAGCAAGATCGTTCGAAGTCTGAAGGAAACTGCCTTGCTGCATCAAGAATTTGAATCCTATTCGGATTAGGATTGCGACTGGAGTTTTACCGTTTCTATTTTGAGTTCGATTTCCTTGTTGGTTTGAGAATTGAACTTACGTATTAAGTTTGTTAGCTAGCCTAGGTCTTCTATTTAAGGTTGATCAATTGCATTGTAAACTCAATTTTGGTTTTAATCGAAGACAAACGTCAAGTTTGGTTCACAAGTATCGTATTGTGATTGAGAGTGGCTTAGAACGAGTTCTAGGGCACTCATTGCTGTATCGATCAAGTTAATCCCTCTTGATTGTGGCTAGCCTTCGCCTGATTCTTCTCGAGCCTTTGCGCATGTGAGCAATTGCACGAAAGAGCTAATCCGCAAAACTATCCAACACACACCCTGTTTTTAGAAAGATGTTTGTTTGCAAATCCAATTGCTGCGCAATTCTGATTCCAGACCCTATCTGGGGTTCGTCAGAGACTTCCTACGACGACAACTGACTTGCATAGTCGCTAAACATAGCTACTTTTGGAGGAGGAGAGAGAGACCAGTGGGACGACTCTGGGCAACAAAACTTGAAGCAACCTTCTAGAGCAAGACAGACAATCACAACCCAAGATAAAAACAACTTGTCTCAACTATCCTTTTTTTTTCTCTGTAGTTTGTGGAGCTCTCCTCCATGAAGGATCCTCCATAGCAATAGTCTTAGTTGTAGTCACTGAGCTCTCAGGGAATCTCCATAGGAGTAGAGTAAGATAACATAGATCTCACAACAAACACTCTCGTTCGAACAATATTTGAATAGGTGTGAACCGTATAACAATCGTCACCTTCGTATAAGTCAAAGGGCACCCATCAACCAGAAATTCCACCAAAACCACTATGTCCAAATAGTTTCCTCAAGTCAATTTGAAATGTGTGGATTAATTGCATGTTAAAAGATACAAACTTTTTGTTCTCTTCTCATAAATAAATATTGACGATAAACAAATACAAATACAACCATTCAAAGTAGGTTACTTTATAAATAAATGATAAGAAAACCACAAACAACCAAATGAGCAACATAATTAACAGAATGAGAGATTTCACGCCAACATCAAGTAAGAAGCATAGCATGCTCAAGGTGAAAAGGACATATAACAAAGACGCCTTCGAAATCTACTTGCACAAGATCTTTCTTATCGCAACTTTTTTGTAACATATTTCAACATCATAAGAATTAAGATAGGCGACTGTTGATTCTAAAAATTTAAACCTGGAATGGATTAGATGTTATCTTACCATAGTTTTCTCAATTTGCTCAATACTTTTATTCCCATATATCAGTAGTCTCAAACTTTGAAGTCACGGGTTCAAAAATAATATGTGGAAGTGACAAAAGTAATTCCATGCATTCTTTTTTTACAGACATCAAACAAACAGAGAGGCTATTGATATACATACACCATTTGCAAGAAAGAATTACTTTTACAGCTTGAGAGAGAGCTACATCTAACATTTGTCTACACAATATATGTTTCAACTTTGTGTCTCACATTGAAACTTTCTGCAACTTCATCACATCTCTGCTGCAAAAGATTTACCACAGCCACAAGTCTGCGTCGCATTAGGGTTCTTGAAAGAGAAGCCACCTCCGATGAGGGCGTCGCTGTAATCCAACTGCATCCCAAATATGAATAGGAGGCTCTTTGGATCGCAAACTGCACCCAACACACCCGGGGGGAAAAAGAGTAAATAGATAGCTCAGGATGCCAGTTCTGGAATTTCATGCTACCATTATGAGGAGTGGACAACAAGTAAGCAATGCAACACCAGTTCTAGGTCAGCTACAAATTATCATCAGTGAATGGTCCAGACCCTTGCAAGGAGCCTTTCCATAGGTATGATGAAAGTGTTTACCCCCATCTTGATCACAGCATAAATCCAACAGTGAAGCAATCATGGGAGACGAGAGTGAGCGAGGGAGAGAGGGACAGAGACGGAGTCTCATGTGATTCGGTGTTGTAACTGATATCTAAGGAATTGGCAATTTCTTTTCCTTTCATTGATAATCTACCTTGCAGGCTATCCACTATGCACATAGAAAATTGCCCAAATCTACAAGGAAACAGATTCCTATTCGTAAAAAGCTCTCTAGCATCCGTATTAAAACAAAATCAGTAACCGACATCTACATCTCAATCCAAAGTTTAAACTGTTTACAAAGGCAAAAGACCCCAAAGGTTCATCACCTAGGCACCTAGCATACTCATCTAAGGTTAAACAAATCTGATCCGCCTTAGGGATGAGCTCTTGGATCAAGACCCATCAACCAATAGGCACAATAACCATATTTATCCTGAAGATGGAAGCATAATATCTATGGATCAAGACCTCCCTTCATCTTTCAGCAATTCTGGAAAGTCACGAGCTTGAAAAGAAACACTCACAAAATATGAGCAGTGAAGTTCATTCATACGCTGAAAGGCCATCTACAATATGGGGGCAAACCGAAGACTGATCCTGACAGACTCAAACCCTAGCTAGCAATGGCTCACTATCCTACACCAAATTCTACACTTTCCAGCCAAACAAATCAATTTGTCTTCTCGCCTTGTATTCCCTAGTACCTCCAAATTCCCCAAATTCAGTGACTAAAAGCAATAGAGAGAATCGAAAATGTTGCATTACCGATAACGAAGCCGTCGTATTCCATGATGGAATCGTCCGGTCTAGCGTTGGCCCGATTCTCAAACTCCATTGTGTAAGACATCCCCGAGCATCCACCTTGTTTCACCCCGATTCTCAAGCACAAATCCTCGTTTCGATCGCTCCTCATCCGATTCAGGTGCTTTAACGCACCCTCAGTCACCGAAACCGCCGGCGCCACTCCCCCAGGAGATGGTGGAGCGACTGCTGAGTGAGAAAAAAAAATTGGAAGGGGCAGAAAACAATCTAGATATTTGGAAACGGAATTCGACCATCCTTTACATCAAATCATTAAATCGGGGAAAGAAGGGAGGGATTGGAGGAGTAACCTGGGACGGAAGATGATCGGACGGAGAGAGACGATCGGCGGCAGAGATTGGGCGTGGGGGAGAATCTGAAGGAGACTGAACTCGGAGGCGAGGAGAAGGGTGCCGGTGAGCGATTGGAGAGACGGACAAGAGATGGAGGAGACTTGCACGCTGTGGTTGTTGAAGAAGAGAAAGCCGCCGTCGCCATGGCAGAGAATTGATCGAGAGCTTGCAGAGGTTTCCAATTTGTTCCTTTTTTTTTTTCTCTCGCGTTTACAAGTCGTCTTCTCTTTCACAAAATTTCGTGTGATTATTAAGGAGTTTTTCAGTTTTTGACTTTTTGTGATTCGTAAATTATAAACACAAGGAGTTTTCTGTTTTTGTGATTCAATTAATAAAATATATTAAGACAAAGTGTGGGCCGGTCTCGCGCTGAGGTTAGGTGCTAGGTAATGTGGGCTTCATATCGGGCTTAATAAAAAATATGTCCGTCGGTGGGTGGTGGGCTTCTTTCCGGCGGGCTAGATCAGATTATTTTTTTTTTATCACGATATGATATGCCTAATTGTTGGAGAGTTTAGCATTGTGAGATTGTTTTCAAGATGTAAGAGAAGTGGGTTAGTGAATATCTCTATGCGTGTCAATATTAGACTGCTTTACATAGTCTCACGATTAAATTTTAACAGTTACGGAATAGTATCCACAAGTGCAGGGATTGTGATAAACAAGGATGTAAAGACGAGCAATTTACAGGGTGATTCAGATTATTTTGGATTAAGTTCAACGTAATAGTCTACATTTTGTTAGTAGAGATGATAATAAGACGCCTTATTTGATGGTTCGAAAGGCTCTATGTTCTTTTCCGCACTAGCGAGCGAGGTTCGATTTTGTTGCTTGATTATATATTAGGTAGGACAAATTGTAAAACACTTGATCTTTCCTCAATTTCAGGGTGTCTAATTGAGGGGGGGGGGGACATTGCCGGTATTGCAGTAAAATTTCAACCTTTTTTATAAAAATTATTGTATGTTATGGCTCTAGGCTAGCACAACTTTGCTTTAGGGCACATCATCTTGGCTTCTCAAGAGGTAACTCATTTTGCACTACTTTACAGGGAACACGTTTAACTATATAGTTCTTACAAGATCTTCTTCATTTCTAACCAAAACAAGACTTGTCATTAAGGTTGGATTGTTTCTTGTGCCCATGGATCTCTCACATACTTTGTTGATGTAGAATTTTCTTAAGTTCTTGTCTTCGCTTGTTCTTTTTCTCTACGACTTCTAAAATGCCGAGTCGAGGAGAGCACAAGAGAAAGACATGCTTCTAAGATGCCGAGCCGAGGAGAGCACAAGAGAGAGACATGCAGAAGGAGAATTAAATGAGGATGAAAGTGAGAGAGAGAGAGAGAGAGAGAGAGAGAGAGAGAGAGGTTGGTGGGCAACACTAATGAGTTTGATCTTAAGAGCTTGTTTGCTCGATGGATTTAGTGAAGGATTTGGATACATGATGGACTTTGTCCATAATCAATTGTTTGCTTCAAGTATTTAGAGGTAACAAATCCGTAGGACCCATGAACTTTAAGGGTCTAAATCTGTGGGGCCCACGGGCTTGAAAATTCCACCTCTTTAGGTGGGAAACTGGGAATTGATCATGGAGTTTGAAGTCCATCATTTTTTACCCACCTACCCCTCATATTTTATTTCTTTTCTTATATCATTGAGGACAATAAAGGTAAATTTTACTTCATACATACAAATTTAATTAACAAAGTCCATCATGAAATCCATGAAACAAACAATGGTGTTTATCAAATCCATAATGAACCAAAAACCCTCATATATCCCTGAGTTTTCACAACCCAAATTATATTAAAACCTTCCCTTTTCAAATCCATAAAACAAACGATTCTTAAAATTTCTGCCAAATCTGTCAAAACACCAAGGGGTCGTTTGGATTAGGGGATGTGTAAATGAGGGATTTGGATTAAAATCTCTCAATTAAAAACCCAGGTATTTTAAACGTGGGATTTGATCCAAATAACATGTTTGGGAATAGATGAAGGATTTTAATTAAAAATTAAAGTTACAATTATACCCATCCCTAATCCCTAAGGAAGAATAAGAAAGGAAGAACAAAAGGAGGGGCAGAGTTTGGAAAAGAATGAGAAAAAATGAGTGATTGTGAAATAGCTGATCCCCATAAGCTATTTTAAAAACTCTCATATGAGAGATTTAGAATTTCCTCATGCCCACAATCTCTCACCTTTCCAAACACAGAATTGTTTTAAAATCCTGCATAACGAGAGATTGTTTTAAAATCACTCATAAATCCCTCATCACATTCACTAATCCAAACGACCCCAAAACGCAAGCTCACGGAGCCGGCTTTTTGTAGTGGGTGGCATGGCATAATGAGCTTTTTAGCCATATTACCCTTCCTCAAGCCATCCATTTTCATCCATTGGGATAAACTCCACTCGTGAAGAGAGATACTTACCCTTTGGGTATGTACTCACAACTATGACCGTGAGTATAATAACTAAATTTATCAAAATTCATCTAGATAAAATTTGAGTTATGAGAAGAAAATCATGAATTATTTTCCAAGTGGGGTGATGTAGAAGTAGGGCTGGAAAACAGACCAGACCGTTAGAAAAATCGTGGTTCAAACCGTACCGTACAGTTTGGTCCAGATCGTAGATCTTTAAGTATGGTCTGGTCTGGTCCATGGTCTGTATTATTTTATGTTTTGATCTCTTGGTCTGGTCTGGTCCATGGTCTGTATTATTTTATGTTTTGATCTCTTGGTCTGGTCTGGTCTAGACCGCGGTTTACCGGGCCAAACCGTGGACCCAACCGACTTGTCAATACGTGCTAACAACCCATTTGACCACTCTCCCAACTCCCACAACGACACCCAAGTCTCAACCGTAATTTTGTGAATCTCGTCTCTCCTTCATTCACAACCACATTTAATCAATATGACATTATGTTAATGTTTTATGACGTTATGGTGCAAGTTGGGATGCTTTTACTTTAAATCTTTGTTATGTACTAAGAATTAGGGTACCAAAATTATTCATGCATGTTAGGATCAATGTTTTAAGGCAAATAGCAATTATTTTTCTTGGTTATTGGTTCAATTTTTTGTGTGGTTGACTAAACAAATTGTTCATTTTTCGTTGAGTGTGGTCTATCTAGACCAGACCAGACCGAACCAAATCGCACAGGCGTGGTCTGAACCAGATCGTATAGTTTGTGGTCTGATTTGTGGTCTATACTTCAGCCTCTCGGTTTGGGCCATCGACCGTATATATGGTCTGGTCCGGACCAGACCGCACCATTTCTCAGCCCTATGTAGAAGCGCATTGAACCTTTCTAACTTTATAGTCTAAGTTAAGTTGGCTTCACTTCATAACTCTCACAAAGTCTTGAGTTTTACTATCATCTCTCTTAATAAGAGATGTCCTTCTTTCAACTACTCGAGGTATTTGGAGGTTATGACTAGGGGTGACAAACGGTAAGTCGGTAAACGGTTTACCATTTTACCGAACCGTTTACCGGCGGTATCGGCAGCCGAGGGTCAAATGGGGAAGCTCGGTTTACCGGCCCCAATATCGGTAGATACCGACGGTAATTCCATAATACTGATACCGGACAAGTTAAGGCATTAACTAATAACATATACTTCATTATTCACAAATATTACATATATGAATGAAAGTAAGTAAGTATAGGCCTCAAACATATTATAAATAGGAGTTAATAATAATTTATTAATTACAAAAATGAAGAAAAAACTCATAAAAATCAAAATATTACAACAATACTCTATTGCCCAGAAATTCGGTTCGGTAATTTTCCAGTAAACCGAACCAAAAAACCGTCCGCAACTACTCTTTACGGTAAGTCGGTAAAACCGGTTTGTAATCGTTTATCGGTAATTCGGTAACCGGTAAACCGGTTACAAATTGGTATCGGTAATCGATTCCCACTTACCCACACTCGGTATACCGAAAATCGGTAAAGTCGATAACCGGTTTACCGGTTACCGACCGAATACCACCCCTATTTATGACATGGTATCGGAACTCGTTTTTCCTTGATGATGTGCTCAAATCGTCACGACCCTCCTATATTCATTGTTGTTTAAAGTGCATGGTATGACTGGCCTGTGCATAATCTTCAAGCCCATGAGTTTACTTTCTTTTCAGGGAACGTATAAGAAAGTAGTTAAGTACCAGCTGGTGAGTACCCCATTTGTTAAGTACATGGTATTCTGATGCCAGTGCAAACTTCAGGTCGAACATTTTCTCGAGCAACTCAAATTATTGGCACCAAACTAATTTTTAACCATCTCAATCTATCTATCTACTTAACATTTATTTAAGGTAGAGTTTCATCTTTGGGGGCAAAAGAAGAGAGAAAGATTAGCTTTGGTTGGGCACATTATCATGGGCAACCCGTGGTGCCGAAATCTACCAACTCTGCTAACCAACCCACACGATCAGACTTAGCTCTTCATCACAAAAAGGGAGGAAAGTAGATGCAAGCACGATCCCCCGCCGATCCCGTTTGAATATTGAAGTCAACTAATAACAAAAAGGGATTGGAAAGAGAAGATCAGCTGTGAACTGTTTTTAAACAGAGATGATTGAATGAAGCAGAGCTTCGCTGGCGCCTAATCAAGCAACCTTTTTTTTGTTCAAAACAGAGGCTGGCTGTTCTCTTTCAGGTTGGCAAGGGGCTCACATGCATTCTCCCTCTCTCCATTTCTTGCTTTCTGTTGTTAGTTAGTTGATGGTTTGATCATAATTACTTGTTTTCAGTCGGCAAAGAGCTCCAAAACTGAATTTTATTTCATTGATGTAGCTATACATCTTGAGAGAAAAGTTCATTATATGGATCACATTTGGGTTTAAAGTTTGCACCGATTATCAAGTTCATTACGTTCTTTTCGAGCTACTAAAGTGTAAGGTTACCAATGAAATCTCTAATATATGAATTATTTTATACTCCTTGTTTTGCTTTCGGATGTGTTGTCCAAATAGACACAACATAGTTTCTTTTCTCGGATGAAATACACAAAATGTTCTAACTATACATCTATACCACATAGTTTCGTTCATTAACTATGCACAACACACATGAAACACAAGGTTATCCTGACACAAAATAAGTCAAGCTTATCATAACGACTTGAAGACGAAAACATATTGCAACGAGGGATACTTAGCATGAATAATATGGTGTATCATTCCGCTACATATCAAGATGATTGACAATGTCTTTCGCATTTTTATGTTTAGATGGATTGTTCATATTGAAATTCATCATAATAAATACATTTTCGATGAAAAACAATGATTTATTGTGTCAATAACTCGAAGCTATTAGATAAGTTTCGTAAACGAGTTTTTATCTTCCTCAAAATTTTAAAATTAAAACATTACCACTAAACCTTTGGTTGCTACCACATCATTACACCTAGGCTTCGACATCATCATTATTAATTGTTATTCAATGGAAAGAGAAGTAGTTGGAGAAGAGATAGATACCCATTTGGAGATAAAACATTAGAAGAATCAAGAACTTGTTGGAGTTGGAGTTGGGGAGGAGAGAAGGAAGAAACAAAGGAATAACCACTATGAGAAAAGGTCCTTCCCTTTTGATTAATTGTTCTTCTCTCTATATATAAACCCACACATCATATTCTGCTGCTCATCCTCTCTCTCTCTCACCCTCTCTTTCTCTCTTCTTAGCCTCTTCTCCTAATCTTTTCTTGTCTTTCTATACACAGGCTTCTTCTTCTGCAGCTCTCTTGTGAAAATTTTCCCATTATATGAGCATCATTGATCATACCACAACAAAAGCCACAAACTTTTGTTGTCATCCTAGTTAGTCCCTTGAGTTCTACAAACTTTCCTTTTCATACCAAACTAGTTAGTTTCTATTCTGTTCCCATCCAATTCAATGGAATTTTCCAGCAGAAGAAGGGCTCTGCTCAAAGTCATCGTCCTTGGGGATAGTGGGTATGTCTCTGCTTTTGACTTTGCTCCATATCTCTAGTTTCAACTGTTCTTCATCTCTGGGTTTGACAATCATTCACCAATATTAGTCTATCTTGAAGCTAAAAGAAAGTTTGAAGCTTTCCACATGGGTTTGCATTATTTTGAAGATTTGATTGATGGGTTTGGTTTCTTTCTTTGTGATTGGTTTTCGTTTTCAGGGTGGGGAAGACATCCTTAATGAATCGGTATCCTCTCATAATTTGTCGCAAACCATATTTTCTTTACATCATATAATGATAAACGAGAAAATACATATGAGAACTTTTTATCGAATTGGATTTGGCGTGTGAGAAATTGTATAAATTTGATCACCTAGTTGTATGCTATGTCATGTCTTCACTTTCTCTTGTACTATTCAAATGGGGCATTGTTATGTCTGGCAAAAATGAGGCACATTATATTGGGCATTGGGGCATCTGGCCCCCAATTATTTTTTCTCATATGCTGCTGACTGGTGATGGATCACATTCACATGGCATCTATGAGTTGTCATAAATTTGTGAAAGTGTTGGCTTGCATATCTATCCATTATGTGTCTAGTTAGTTGCCAAATTTGTGAAAGTGTTGCCAGGTTGGTTCCCTTGAAATTAATGGTTTTCAAACTCAATGGAATTAGTATTAATGAGATTCCAAATTCTACTATTGTCTCTTAAACTGAGCCTAAATCGTATGACCTTGTAACGAACTAATTAACGTCTGTTATATAGGATTAAGACTATCTTACATGCTACCATATTCTTAACCAGTATAGTATCCTACGAATAAGTGATTGAATATCTTGTGTTCCTTTACAAAATCGACTTAGATATGTCTACAAGAAGTTCAGCCAACAATACAAAGCAACGATAGGTGCTGATTTTGTGACGAAAGAGCTCCAAGTAGATGACAAAGATGTCACTTTACAAGTGAGTATAACATTCCTATTAAAAATATGATCATGCCGCGTTTTTATTATTATTTTACATTAATTACTTTTGTGTAACCAAGATTAGCCGTGTGTGTGTAAAAGATATGGGACACCGCAGGGCAGGAGAGGTTTCAGAGCCTTGGATCGGCGTTTTACAGAGGGTCGGATTGTTGTGTTCTGGTATACGACGTCAACGTGCTTAGAACATTCGAGACGCTGACTAATTGGCACGATGAGTTCCTTAAGCAGGTTAATTTTTTTTTTTTTTTGTATTTGATCAATTCTAATCAAGCATGATGATGGATTAATGGATATGGTGGGTTGGATTTAATTTGATCTAAGTGAGTTATAACATGTATTATTTCTCAGGCAGATCCAGTACATCCAGATGTATTCCCTTTTGTGCTACTTGGGAATAAGATTGACATTGATGGTGGAAACAGCAGAGCGGTGGGTATATTTATATAACTTGGAAATTAAGCACACAAATAGAGATGGATTTTTTTTTTTTTTTGCCATTTCTTTTGGTCAGTTACTTAAATGGTCACTGAACTTTGATGACATTTAACAACCGGTCACAAACATTTGTTTTTACAGGTTTCAGAGAAGAAAGCAAGAGAATGGTGCAGTAGTAAAGGAGACATTCCTTACTTCGAGACATCAGCCAAAGAGGATTACAATGTTGATGATGCCTTCCTATCTGTAGCCAAAGTTGCCCTTCAAACTGACCACCAACACGATATGTAAGCAACCTTTTAATTCTGGGAATGGATACTATACATCAAATAGATTTGAAAACATGATCCATCGTGAACTATAGTTTTGTAATTCTTATTGCTTTCAAATGTCAGTTATTGTTTTGTTTGTTGAATAACTAACATTTTTCGTTGGTGTGCAGTTACTACCAAGGTATATCAGAAGCTGTTTCCGAAGTTGATCAAAGAGGGAGTTGTGCATGCTAAAGCTCTAGCAAAATGAGAGGCTTTCAATAGGTTGGATTATGCTTTTTTTTTGCGTAATTTCATCAGTCGCGTATCTATTACACTCGATAATATGTTGACGACTGAGATGATGAGGAGGCATTATCCGAATCTACATTTTCTGCTCTTTGGTTGATTCTATTGATTGTTGTCATTCTGTTTGCAAAGTGACAAATGCTTGATTGATCCCAAATCATTGGTGCCGTTTTGAGTAAAAGTTATTTGTACATCAGCATTAATTTCCTTTGGGTAGCAGGAGATATATATTTTGTATAGTGTGTGAAGTTTTTGTGATTTTGTCTTTGAAAATTTATAAATAAATATAAATATTTGTGTAATGTCGATTAGCTGATCGTTTTAAAAGTTTATGTCTAAATTCGTTAAAATGTAGTAGATAATCTACATTCAGTTAGAATTTTTGTGATGATTACATATTTACATGCTATATATATGTTAGAAATCACTATTTTGCTTCTGAAAACCAAATAAATGACATAATACACCAACGTTTGTAATAAAAAAAATGGTATAATTCATACTCTGTGTACATATTTGTGAAAGCTGCAATATGATACATTGTTGTAGGCTTTTGAGCTGGGGGTGAGCACGGTCCGGTTCGATCTAGAATCCAATAAAATTAGGGTGATACCCAACCAATAATAGAGAGGTCGAGAATGAGGATCGGAGTGGAACTCAAAGTACATTTGATTCAATTTGATTAGATCTCATTGCAAATACGGTCCATGTTTCCTTGATATTTAAGAAAATTCACAAAATCGAACTCTATGAAATTTCGGTTGTTTTTCAATCCAATTTGATTTGGTATCGGTTTGGTACGATTTGAATCGGTGAGAACAGAATCGATACCCACCCTCACTTGGGAGTTGGGACGATATCTAAATCAAGACGAAGAGTCAAGGATTCTGGTTTACCCAACCCTTTAATCGGAACGCAAGGCGCGTAAATGGGCTACAAGGCCCAAACCGCGAGCGCGGAAGAAAGGTTGGACTAACAACGAAGTAGCGGCCCATAAAGCCTAATCGTATTGTTCCAATGTGAAAAGGCCCACGTTTACAGAGGGGGGAAAGAGAAACGAAAGAGTGGCAAACCCATTCAAATATTTTCTAGTTTCTGTCACAATATAAATTTGGTTTTGTTAAAACATAAAATTACATTATAACCTAGTAACCTGTACTATTAGTTAGCACGAGTTTGAAGAGGTCCCAAAATTGGTGTACCTAAGTCAATATTTTTTTTTCACTGAGAAAAAGAAAATTAACTTAGGTACAAGGTTACTCTCTCACAATAAATCATATATTCTAGACTCTAGAGGACAGGATAATATGTTATAAAGTTATTCACATAATAAATATAAATGAAATGGACAAATATCATGAAAATATATAAGAGTAACAAAAACTTTAAAATAAGCTAGGGGTAGTTTAAATAAGAGATTTTTAATAGATACATTTGACACAATGATCTCATTTTGAGAAAACTAGACTAAATTGATATATTTGTGAGCATAGGATCCAATGTAACTTGAACACTTTCCGTCCGGTATTACTCGATCTAATCCATACTGAGGTGGGTAATATTCAATTCGCAATAGTATGGGACGGGGTATGGGCACTACTCTCGTTTTGTCCTGTCTCATCCCGTTCTTGATCTAGTCTAACTCGATTCGTCTCAATATTTATTTTTATTTCACCAATTTTATCTTAAGCGTTTTCTTCAAATAACATATAAGAATAGATCGATTTTTCCTGTTCCGTAGCGCATGAGTATTACCCCATATGATTCGCACTTGGTTGCAAATCAAGTATGGGCCTAACCCAGTCCATTGCCATGACACCATATATATATTTATTTATTTATTGGAGGAAACATGGAATAAATACGTTTCCTTTCCTCATGAAACTTCTCTCTGGTTTCCCACCAAGGTATGAGCAATCATGATAACGACGGATATATATGCATTCAGTAAACCTTTGATTGGCGAATCTATAAAACTGGAGACTGACACTGAGACTGAGACTGAGAGAGTATCATTTTCCATCCACCCCATCAATTAAGGGGGAATTGTTTATCATAGGTTCGTGGAACCTTCTTCCCTTTGCAAACTATAGGTTGGGATCCCGACTTGGGAGGGGTTTTTTGGTTTGATTTATCTTGGTATTCATCTATCTAAAACAAAAACCAAGGATTGTCTGAGTATCAGAATCGGTGGTAAAGTATTTTGAGTTGAAATCGTCATTTAATCGTAGTTCAACTATTTTATAATGTTAAAAAAAATTGGCTGCCGTTTTAAATTTCGATAGGAGATTTTTCAAGTTAAATTACGGATAGAAGAGAGGACACGTGAATAATCACTAGCAAACTTATAGTAAAACCCATGATAGAATGTATTATAATTGATGATTGTGAATTCGTACCGAAAAAAATACATCTAAAAAGTTAGCGGTAGGATATTTTGTACTAAAATCGTGGTTGAAACCGTAATTCAGCTGGCTTGTTTCTCTTAAACCGGTTACTGTCTGTTGCGGTATCTGATATTACCGGTCCACCAGACTGATACAATAAGATTTCTAAAACATTCGAATTTTAATGAAAAGTCTACAGAGTAGCAAATTAAAGTCGTCAATAATGGGGGAAAAACAATATAGAGTAATATTATAACTAATAAATAGTCTTCAAATAACATGGTTAAACCTGAACTTTCCAAGTCTTGTGATGATCAATCTGGTAGATGATATCACTTGACATCCAATGGCTAATACAATCATAACACCTTTTCTTTTCACCAAACCCATTACTTGATATAGGTTCTTACTTTCCCACAACTTATAATTAATCCAACTAATAGTTCATTTTGACCAGCTTGGGCTGCCGGTAATGATTGAAGTATTACTATAAGAAAAATGGCCCACTAACAATATCACTCATGATCGAGAGGGCTCAGTTTCCTGGAATTTTACTATCTTGTTGTAAATATCGTTTTTATATTAGTTCGGTGGTTCGAGCAATCGATTGTGATGCTAGTGAAAATACGAAGATAAACACGTACTTACGTTTATGCTCTGAAGTTCGAGCAATAAGAACCTGCTCGAAACTGGTTGCTTTTAATTGGCCTCTGTTTCAACATTGGTCATGTCAGTCGTGACCCACTGAAGATGTGGTGTTGACTGTTGAGGCGTTGACCATTTATATTTTATATAATTAAAAGTTTACTATCATTGAACGTATCTGTAGCTATTTCCTCTTTCAACTGTTGGTTGGCCGTTGGCCCAGCCGCCCGGGGCTGTACATATAATATATATATTAATAGAAAGAAAAGAATTCTCTGCTGTCCCATTGAGAGCCACAATTCATCGATTAAGGAATGGTGGACAAAAAAGAAAGAACAAAGAAAACGGATGGAAGATGAAGAAGCTTCCATGATGCAACGCCATTTGGAAAACTTTGTCACGGGCAATGCAGTCAAAATCACGCTTTAAAACTTAAAAGCTTACGCTTTTACCTTTTTAGGTCGCCAAAACACTTCTATGTAGAATTGTGATTTTACCTTACAAATATAGTCAAAATCTACGCTTTAAAACTTAAAAGCTTACGGTTTTACGCTTCTAGGTCACCCAACCGCTTATAGGTAGAATCGCATTTTTGACTGCATTGGTCACTGGTATTGATGATAGAAGTGGTTTAGTTGCGAGAGGGTGAAATTCGTAATTGGATGATAATTTGAAGGGTTATAGGTAAAATATGCCCATCTACTATGATGATTTATCAAACATGCCCCTCAATTATTTTTTACATCAAACATGCCCTGTACTTTGAAGAAATTATCAAACATACCCTTTGTTAAACATTCCATTGAAAAAATCGTCAATCATGGTTGAACCGAGATTTAGACAAGCCGATATCTGCAAATGGAAGCGAAAATGTCAGTTTTGTCTCCCGTTTTATTTCTCTAGGTCTCTTCAAAGTGAAATTATTTGAATTATTTGGCTATACAAAAGAACCAAAAAAAATTATAAAGTAAAATTATTAGGGATATTTTAGACATTTGTGTCACCCAAACCAAAGTTCGGCCTTTGTTAATGGATTTTGGATGGAAATTTTAACAAAAGGGCATGTTTGATAATTTTTTCAAAGTATAGAGGCATGTTTGATGTAAAAAATAGTTGAGGGGCATGTTTGATAAATCATCATAGTAGAGGGGCATATTTTACCTATAACCCTAATTTAAACCAGCTCTGTTGGGTATTATCATTGACGTGAGATAGGGTAGATATTAGCCGGACCACAATAGCGTGGGGTGGGACATAGTTATCTACTTCTGTTATGCTTCGTCTTGTCTTGTCTTGTTTTTGTTAAATTCTATCCCAATGTCTTACAATATCTATTCATATATCTTCTTGTTATGGGACAATCCATGTACCACATCAGTAATACAAGCGAACACTAGAAATGTAGCCCACCAAGTTCATTAGTACGAGGCCTTTTGGGAAGGAACTCAAAAGTAGATCCGTGCGGGCTTGGCCCACAATGGACACTAGAATGTAGCCCTGTGAAACTCCTCTTGAAGGTCTATTCTCAATCGTGATTACATGACATCAACTGATCTTACAAACGCTTTAGTTCCTCATAAACTAATGACTCCTGATTTTCCTTTTCCATTCAGCTTCCAACAATCTTTCGCTCATGGTTGTTCTTCTTGTAGCACTCGTTATTATGCTTGTATTAATGTTTACATCAGATTAGGATTTACTGATTGAGTGACGTCTCACCCCGTCAATATTTTCCCCAGATCAATAGCTAAAATGGATGAAGACCATGGGACGAAACAAAATCGAGTTTGATATCCACGAGGTGGGCGGAAAACTGAACTCTCCACAATGTTTTCTACGGGACGTAGCAACAAAAACATGTTAGCCAACTTATTTTTGGTGCAAAGAGCAACCTCTATCGACCCACTCCACAACATGTAATTGACATAATTGAGCTTTTAAACAAATGATTGAAAAAATTAGTTATCAATGGTCGACATATAGAAATGATTGACATATAGTTTTCCGCGGAGAGAGATCCAAATCCAGTTACTATGCTGGTGTTTGTGAAACCTCCAATGTTGGAGTTTTGGTATGGAGCCAACCATCCTATGATACCATGAGAAAATCTGCCGTTGAGAAGGCCTCTATATATTGAACCTCCAAGGGATAGGACTTGCAATGGTGAGGAACGACTAATTACAGTAAGCGTAAGTGCGTAACCTATGTTATCATCAAAGCCAGCCTCTGTTCATCTTCTTTCTTTCTTCTAATGACAATCTTAATTA